GAAATTCAATAATATGATCAGAAATAGGAGTGCCCTCTTTATACCTGATATTCATCAATTGTTTCAATAGAAACAACTTATTGTTGCCAGTCTTCGAAGCATATAGCATCTCGAGCTTGTCCCACAAACTTCTGGCATATGTCGTATTCACAATGTGATTTCGAACATTATCTTCAACCCATTGTCTAATATAGCCACCTGTAAGTGGTCAAATTCACATTCCTCATCCGTCATGGACTAGGGTTTATTAGAGGTAAACACAGGTAAATGCATTTTCTTAACAAATAGATGATCTTTCATCTTGCCTCTCCAAATATGATAGTTACCACCATTCAAACAAACTATCTTGCTCATATTTGCCTCCATCATTCAAATCAATTATCAACAATAAATCAATAACCAATGCTCTGATACCACTTTGTTGGGAAAGGCAAGGCACTAACAAGAATGTCAGATAGGATAGCAGCGGAATAATACCCAAATCTAATTCTCCCTTTCAATTTGAACCAATAGAAGACAAACCAAATCAAGCAATATGAAGAATAGACAGCAAGTATAATAACCAAACTAAAACAACAAGATAAGAATAACTCAATCACACGAGACACAATAATTTACGTGGAAAATCCTTCGATGTGAAGAGTAAAAAACCACAGGACCAAAAAGCTCTACTATAAACACCAAGAGTTACAAAATTATTTTCCAAAATTGGCCACAAAACAAGCGCCAAACAACGAGCAACAACAAAACAAGATTGCACCAAAACTAGAGAATTAAAGAAGAGATTTTACCCAAAAACGTGCTACTGTTCACGCCCCAAAATCAGAAGCTACAGACCTCCAAATCTGATCTCCACCGTTGAATTGCAATAACCAGATTCTGAGAACTCCCAGTTCAAATTTGAGCACAATCCAACGGTTAACGAAGCAGCACACTCTGTTTGAAGCAAACTACCTAAGCAGAAAATTTTCAGAAGCAAAAATATAATTTTTCTCTTTTTCTCTCAATCTCTAAAACGAAACTCTCTAGATTTTTCTCTCTTGGTTCTGAAAATAAGACCAAATAAGCCTTATATATGCCACATAATATTTGGGTTATGGACTAAAGTGAGCTGATCCTAATAAAACTTTTATTTATCCACATAGAAAGGAAAAAAAATATCCTAAACCCAACAAAAACTTGAATCAAGCAAGCTATTTTGCGTAAGCCTTCCTTTATCTCAAAGCCTCATAATACTCAAAGTGTGAAACAAACAAATATAAGAGTATTTAGTCATCTACTCTTTATAATATAGCCTTGGGCATTAAAACCCACTTAATTCTACCATTTATCAAGGTCTAATGCATTATCTAAGGGTTATTTCACCATATAATAATATTCCCATGATCACAATAGCTTTGGGGTGACAATTGGGCGGGTTGAGTCAAATCTGGGTGGGTCATAATGCATTAAGACAACAATCAAGTCAAGACTCAATCCAATCAAAATTTACTTGGTCAAAATGGATTGGGTCAAAGTGGATTAGGTAATGGGTTATATAATGGGTCAAGACTCAATCCAACTCGATTTTTACTAAGCTTAATTTTTTTTTTATTCTTTTAAACTATGTTAGTACCTACTAAAATTATTATTTTTCTTTATGTCCCTTCTACTTCATCAACAATAAATATATTATCAATCCATGCTAAGAAGTATAAATTAAAAACTTATAATTAAAATACACGCTAATCACATTCAGGGGCGGATCCATTGGGTTCCAAGGGGTTCACCTGAACCTCCTCAGTAAAAAATTACACTGTATATATAAGGTAATTTTTTTGTATTTATGTAGATATATTAATTTTGAACCCCTTCATGCACATATATAAAAAAAAAACTATAGCCTAGTGGCAGTCTCCTTTAAGTTGACTTCCGCTGTGAGCGTTTTATTTTTTCAGCTTTCTCTTCCTTTAGTTTCAGTTCCTATTTTTGCTTCTTTTTTTTAAAAAAAAAGAATGGATTTAAATTCAAAAAAATTCAAGGGTCCCCATTCTTAAAGGCTAAATCACTTTTCACTTCCAAAATCACTTCCTTAGTTCTTCTCCAACACTCAAATGTCAAATATTAAAATCGTCTCCCATAAATCCCTAAATTAAATCACTTCCTTATTTTGTCTTTTCAAGCCATGAAACCTCGTTGATTAGTATTGTAAGTGTGCTTGAGAAGTATTAAGTACTGATCTCTTTTTGGAGTTCGTAGTTAGCACTCTAGTATGATATAGAATTACTGTATGGAAAGATTGACGAAGAAGATAGCCCTAGACCTTGAAAAATTACATCTTGGGATTCTAATTTGAATATTCTAAATTATGAGGGAAAACTTGATTAAAATTGACTTAAGTCGAGCATTCTATCTTGCATCATCCATTGCAGTGATCAACTATTCGATACAGCAAACCCACTGTGGAAAAAAGTGTATTGTTTTGGGAGGCCTAATGCTTGAGCCCGCCCTTTGTACGGCAAGTGGAAGCCCTCTATGGCAATCTCACTGCAGTGAAGCGCCCATTGCTGCATCGAAGACCCTCTTAACCAGTAGCTCTAAGAAAAATAGTGTAAGCCTCATTTCACAACAGAGTTTTTCCATCAAAACATAAAATAGATGTATCAAGCACCGAAAATACCTAATTTGGACTCACTATTCAAGAAAAAAGTTTCGAGAAAATGTCCCCTGTTTCAATATCATGACTCTTAGAGTCTCCATGGAGGTCTAGATCACTAGGTCACCTCCGAAAGAAACACAACACAACACAATAATGCAACTCATCAAAACTAAATCAAAGATACCAGTTTTTAAACCTCCCCACCTTTGATTCTTATTATCTCAACTCACTAGAGGTACTCCAACAAGAGTACTATGGCCTAATTGTTAAAGAATGACAAAAGTCTCACATTGGTAGTTAATGAAATGGATGGACTCCTTATAAGGCTTGGGCAATCCTCCTCCTTTTAAGCTGCTTTTGAGGTGTGAGTTAGGCCTAAGACCTAATTTAACATGGTATCAGAGCAGGGCCCATCTCACCCAATGTTGGGGGTCCCAAAATCAAAATTGCCCACGCACCAGATGCTATGCACTGGGCTTGAGGTGGGGGTCTTAAAGAATGACAAAAGTCCAACATTGGTGGTTAATGAGATGTGTGAACTCCTTATAAGGCTTGGACAATTCTCCTCTCTTTGAGCTAGCTTTTGGGGTGTAAGTTAGGCCTAAGACCTAATTTAGCACTAACCATCCATAGCGACTAGATGTGTCATTATACTTAATGAGACCGTATTCTTCCTATTATTGGGCTTGAATTTGGATCATGCTATATTTGTAGAACCAAGATCACTTGTGTGGTGTCATTTTTTAATATTTCTTTCACCATGAACATATTCTTTAATTTTCCATCAAAATCCTCAACTTTAATGGAGATATCCTCTGCTGATGTTATCATAAGCTATGTCATTTGCTACAACTTTTATTTGAGTATAAAGTTAAGTTGAGCCTTCTTTGCTGTTTGCTATCTGATAAGCGCGCATTATTATTGTGATGCTTTGTGAAGCGTATTTATATGCATTATGGTTACCTGACAAACTTTGGATACAAAGGAAACTCTTGTAAAATTTTGAAAAAATCCCAAAGTTAGTTTTTTCTGATATATAGAACCTACATTCGTAGATGAATGATCTTAAGAAGGGGATAATGTAATACCCCGTACATCTATATATGTTAACATACGACTAGTCAAATGACACCAATTTGATGTGAAACTATGATATTAAGGATACTGGACAATTATGTTAACTAACACACACACACACACATATATATATATATAAATGAATACGGTTGAAAAGTTAAACCAAAGATTTAGGCCAAAGAAAGCCTTAAACAAAAGTTTAAGTCAAAAGGATATCTTATGAGAGTCACTTCAAGTGATCCAACATAATGGATGAGTTTAAAAATCATACCTCCCTACATATGAAGAATCAAAGGATATACTAACTATCAAATCAATAGTTTTTGGGTCTAGTCTTCAGTAAAATAAATAGTTCATCAATCTGAGTTCTATATCAAAACTAGTTATGCTAATTTGAAGAAGACATTGTCTCTAAGATTTCTACTTAAGACCAAGTCACGTGTATATAACTAAGTTAACATCCACGAGATTATTCGAGTTGAAAGAAAGGAGAATATAATTGAGCCTTTAAGTCTAAGGCGTTCAAAATGTGCAAAAGTGAAGGTAATAGTTTCAAAAATATTATTTGGAAAGAAAAATGAATGATGGACAAAGTGACCTACTAGCTTAAACGTCTTACTTGTTTAAATATCCTATTTGTTTAGACGTCCTATTTGGTTGAGAAAATTGTTTGGACGACCTACTAAAAAAATATACATGTGGCCTATATTAATCAATGAAGGATAAGAGGTAAGAAATAAGAATAAGTAGTTGCATCACCTACTAAAAAAATATACAATTCCAAAATTTAAAGGAAGCTAGTTGGTAAATCACCTACTTGAAAGGTGTAATGCCCAATTTTTTGGGCCAAATGGACCTAGGGTGGGTCAATGGGTCAAGCCAAGATCCATCTGCCTAAGAGGTAGTATGTATCCCTATATATCCATACACTTAGCCACAAAATGAGATTTACACATGATAATTGTGTGTCTCTCTCTTGACCACCCCATTTTCACTATAGGTTTATTGAGACCTTTTTGTTGTATTGTAATTTTCAAAAATGGTTTCTTCTTGTTTCAAGGTTTGGTTTTGGGATAAAAGCTTTTATTTTTCAGGACATGCTTAGCCCTTAGGTGGTATATATAGTGTATATTGTTCACTAGGGTGACCAGGGAGTTTTAGTGAGATCAGGGTTGACAATGGGCAACAAAAAAGAAGCATTAATGTGTAAAGATTTTTCAATTGTAACACATCATAACTAAAGTAAATGACAAAATTTCAGATGATCTTCAGAGTCAGAATATATTGTCAACTAAGTAACACAAATTAAAGGGTGGCAAGTTGGTGAATGTTGATGGGATAAACAACATCAGGACCACCATTAAAAGCTTTCCTTGCAAACAAGATGTTGACTGCCTCTGTTGGGTGAAAGGCATCCCAAAATATGTATTGATCCCTATTTGGACATGGTGTTTGCATTGGCAGACATGTTATTTGTCCTCTATTTCTCCCTATACCACAGCACCCTCTATTTATCACACTAAATCCTGCAATATCAACACAAAAATCAATCACATTAAACATAGTATATATATGAACACACTTTCGTTTGCTCGACGTTCAATCATATGGTTGTCCATGTGAAAAAAATAGATAAGAAAGATTTGCTTACCATATTGTCTGTAATTGGTAAGGAGATCTTGGAACATGTTGTTAATGTCAATGTAGATGAATTTGGAACCAGGAAGATTGACATTTAAGTTGGTAAGCAGCATTGACTTAACATTATTAGTGAATGGAAGAATAAGCTCATTCACTTCTTCTGAACACACATTACTATTACTTTTTGCAAGAATGCTTGGAATGCAACCCATTAGTCCTACTCCACCAATCACAAATTTTCTTCCTCCAAGATTATACAATCTCTGAAATTTCAATATAAATAGTAAGTATATGAAAGTGAAAGAAAAAATAAGGTCCTTTAACTTGGTTTCAACTTGTAACTATGCCCTCCAACTTTAGGGGTACGGTAAAAGTAGACATTTAAACTTATATAAAATTGAACAAGTAGACGCATACGTCATATGTGGCATAATATACATAGGACGACACGTAGGACACAAAATGGTACTAAGTTTAATTGGTTACTTGTGCACACCTAAATTAAAGGGCATAAATGTCAGTTAAAACAAATTAGAGGAAAAGTTAAATCTTACAGTGAGTTGTTGGGTATACTGTTGAACCAAGAGATTGGCATATTGTTGAGGATTATAGTGATTCTTAGTATCATAATTAGGCATAAGGTAATTGTTGAGGTAGTCATTACTTCCCATTCCTACAAAGAAAATGCATTTAGCTAATGCTTGTGCCACATCCGGTGCACCAAGATTGTCTGTTATTTCATCAAGTGTATCCTCAAAGTTTTTTATTTGTTGATTGAATGGAATGCGCCCGACCTGCACCAAAAATTATATTAGTATTAAACTACATATATATTTATGGAGTAGTAATTAAATACACCAACTTAGCAGATTCTTGATTATAAATTATACGTAATGGGTACTTTAAATATTTTGAAGTTTTAAATTACTTGTCTCTCCGTTTCAATGTAAATGTCGCTTTAGCTCATTTCATACCTATTATAAAAAGAGAGATATAATAAATATAAGGCATTGTTTAGGTAAGTTATTCCTATTTATTATATGTTTCTTGAGAATTGAGCATTATCAGGAAATAGCTATTTAATCTAAATGTATAATTGGAAACCATTACTATTTACTATTTGGGTCTTGAATTTCTAAAGCAACATATATTTTGAGATAGTTTTTTTGCTTGCTAAAGCAATACTTGTTTTGGGATTGGGAGAAGTTTTTGGGTAGGTAGTCTGCGACCCTTATAAGTTTGGTTTCTACTCATCATCTCACCGTCCCAAAAGGTAAACGAAAAAAAATTTACAAGTTGGGTTATAAAATTGTTCATTAAAAATTGAGTGGTCATTTTGCCTTTTATTAGAAAATTTTATCGAATTAACGGAAGCTCGTCATATTTTATGCATATGTAAAAAAAAAGGGGAAAAAGGAAGAAGGGTCTGATTTACTCCTGAACTTTATGATTTGGAGTTAATATACCCTCAATTTGAAAAGTGGCTTATATATATTCTTGCCGTTATACAAATGGCTCATATTGTAGTCATTTTTGATACCGCCTTCCAACTTATCAAGAGCCACTGTTTCGACTCTTTTTAGTTTGGATTTTGAGACATTCGATGTGCAATTTTTTTTAAGAATTCTTCTTATGTTTTTGATAGAATATCTGGGGTTATTTTGAATTTCATCCTTGAAACAAATAGCCAAGGTACGATAAGTTGTCAATAGATTAACAAAAGAATCACCACAAGTATGCTTAGGCTTCAATATTTTGACCTTGAATGTTGCTGATTTTCCATCCTTTGATATGAGAAGAGTAAAGGGACAACTTTGACACTTACCTGAGATTTTCAACAATTTTGAGATTGATAGACGCTAGTTTAGAGCTCACTTGAACCTTAACAGTGTTTTTGATCTTTCTCCCTTGAGACGATCCAATGAAATGGGTTAGGTTTATTTGAGTGGGTGGGTTTTTTTTGTTTCCAATTGGGTCGGGTAGGTATGGTGAAAAGTTATTGAGTGAGGTATTTTAAAAGTCAAATGACATTTTCTCAAATTAAAGCCAAAAAATGAATTTTTAATTTATTAAATATTAGCATGTTAAGGAAAAGGCATATATATACGAGTCATTTCTATAACGGCAGGGGCATATATAGGCAATTTTTTAAACGGAGGGTATATGAGTTCCAAATCATAAAATTCAGGGTAAATCAGGCCCATTTCCCAAATAAAAAAGGAAATTGGCACATCTAGGAAAGGAGAATGACCAGGGGAATGAAGCCTTTACTTATGCCATATAATGTGATGATTGTGTGAAGGAACAACTAGTAAAATTTTGATTTTATACCTTCAAAGAAATATATGAGAAACCAGTTGTGTGATTTTTTTGATGAAGTTATAATTTTATAGAAGAAATATTAATGATTCCCTCGAGTTTTGTCATGATAAATAGAATATTTGGTGAGAAAGTAGTAGTAGTGTGTGTATGTATGTAAGAACTCACAAAGTTCCTGCCAGTATCATCAAGAATGCCAGCAGCAGCAGAGGCATAGTTTACTCCAAACCGCATTTGTTCTCCTGATGAAGCTTCTGAGTGTGCTGGAATCAGTGGTAGTCCTAGTTGTTCAGCTGTCCACATACAAACTTTAATTAATACCATCAAAAATCAATTACTACTCCTTCATATATTCCATATTAACTGAATTTGTGAGGCACCATACACTTATTCAAGCACGTAATTTAAAAAAAAAAAAAATTGTAAAGAGTAGGAAATTAAATTATGAATATGTTGATAGAGATCGTTAAGCAATTAAATAAATGTGTTACCAATTTCATCAACCATAGTGTAACCATTGGAAAAACGACCAGTAGGGCCACCATCAAAATCAATTCCATATGGGTAATAGTTGGCCTTTGCAAAAGATGGCAAATTATTATTATTGCCATTGTCAATCAGAGAGTCTCCAAATATAAACATGGCAGGAATCAAACCCCTCTTTCTTCCATCTGCATCTTCACAAGTTGCCACATTCACCAACAAAAACACCACAAATAAGAGGTGAAACATAATGCTAGTGTTATTCTTTTTTTGTTGAAAGAGAATGAGAGGGTTTATAACAATGCTTTCACCTCTAACTTGTTTTATGGTACTAAATGACTTGCTCATAATGTTCTTTCTACACATGGTATGATAAATATCAAATATCATATCAAAATAAAAAAATTTATCACTGCGATTTCGATATTATGATATTTGATATGCATTTTTTAAAAGTTTAATATTTGATATTTGGTATTTATAAAAATAAATACCGTTATATCAAATATCCTAACCAAGTATATAGTTACTTATAAAATTCATATATATGTAACTATATAATACTAGTAACTATATAAAATAGTAATTGATTATTTAAATGTTGAAATTTTGACTACACTATCTTGATTTAAATGTTCTTTTTGGACGATTGATTATCAAAGAAAATAGTTTGTCTTTTATTTTGAATATTTTACATATGTAAGGTATTTATATGATTAATTGAGATGTTTATTGAAAAGTCGAAGACATACTTCATTATTATATACTCCCTCCGTCCCTTTTTATATGTCACCTTTTTACTTTGCACTTGCATTAAGAAATGATGTAATTTTACCCTTCTACCCTTATTTAATATTTTCTTAAGTCAACTTTATAATAAATGATGAATACATTTTCATGATTAATTAACTACTCTATCAAGGGTATAATAGACAAAATATAGTAATTTATGCATAAATTTTATAAAATGACAAGTATTGTAGTCCAACTATTTATATAAAGGGATGACATATAAAAAGGGACAGAGGGAGTATATGAATATATATAAAAGTTGAAGTTGACCAAATTATGGTAATCGATTTACCTTAACGTAAAATATTGAAATTGAACTTTAAAATACTGAACCATACCGAATACTTTTGTATGGTAAAGGTATACTATTTTTAAAAATCGTAAACCGAAATTACTAAATCGAACTTTTCAATACCGTACCATGCACACACCTATGAAACATGACACATTAACAAAAATATATATAAGAACATAAATCAAAGTCTACTTTCACTATTACTCTTTTAATTATTCTCAAATTATTCTCCTACAGAATGTAGAATAGTTAAGAACCTCATTAATTAAAGAAAGATAAATATGAGAAAAAATCTCAAAAATTCCCTTGAACTTTGAATAATTCACTTAATTATTTAAACTAGAAAAAAATCTCAACAATATATTTAATATGATATGGACGAGAAAGAGTAATATATACTACTATTAATCTGTTTCAAAAGGCTTTTTTGGAATTCATTCGCCCGGGCTGGCACTTGCAAAACACAATGAGATTTACTTGTAAGGCTTAGCTTTGTGAGGTTTATGTCCCTGCCATCCAATTGTGTGTCCTAAATATACCCAACGCTTAATGTTCAAGGTTCGTGTAACATCCCGCCTTAGAAAGAGCTTAAATTAGAAAGAACTAAATTGGAAAGAATCAATTTAAGAATTTTGCAAGTTATGCTTAAGTTGTGAGTATTGGGTCAACTTCAAACAACCATAACTTTCAGTGAGTTAGGTGGTCCATAAATTATCAAATGAACGTTCTTGGAATTCTCTTTCCAACGCCATCGAGTTTGCTAATTTTCGAGTTCGGATAAGGGAAATATGTTCGTTTGAAATTTGTCTGTCTAGTTAAGGAAAGTTACTCGAATTATTGAGGGGTATTTTGGTCTTTTCCTTACCCCATCAGCCTAAAATGAATTTAGTAATATTTTTGGGGTTAAATCTGATTTGGGTCAGTTTTCATAATCCAAAATCGCTTAGGATTTTGAGAAGAGTTCAAGAAGAGGAGAAAGAGGGAAGGTTCAAGGCGTTCGTCAAAATTCTTGAGTTTTGTTGCAGAACTTCGCCAAGGGTTGGATCTATAAGAGGTATGTGAGTTCTCATAGTGTTGGGTTTGTTCACCCACACGCCAATCATGCGATTTTAATGCAATTTCGTTCTTGAGTTTGAAGGATTTGAGTTCTTCATGAGTTTTCTTGAAGTTTCATTCTTAATCTTGACTATTGGGTTTTGATGAATTTGTGAGATGAATGTTAGTGATTTGAGGGTTGTTTTGGGTAGATTATCGTGTACTTATGTTGGGTATTCGAATATAAGTGAGTTGGGAAGAAACCATTTGATTCTAGGCGAATTAGGGTCAGAAAATTCGTCGGGAAAATCTGGGCAAGGATTGGCACACCGCCCCACCAGTGCACCAGGAACAAGTTCCTGGTTGGCGCCCCGCGCCACTCAGTGCACCAGGATCATCTTCCCCCACCCTTTTTCCATAGTTTGTCCCATCTGAGTTCTTTCAAAGGAAACCTTTACTCCCTATTGTTTCTAACTACTCTAAACTACATCAAAACATCGAGAAATCATTCATAACATAAATCATAACCTTGAATTCATAATTGAAATTTAAGGTAGGGTTAAGAGTTAAGTTTTGAGAATTCTTCCGAGTCATTTTGAGAAGTCTTTTACAATCTTTTAAAACTTGTTTTAAAACTTGAGTACTTGAGTATGAGGATGAGTAGAGTTGAGTTTCATTTTTCAAAATGAATATATGGGAACGAAGTATTGCCAAAGAGTAAATGTTTTTACATTTAAAATGAGGGGAAACACCGATTTTCAAAGGAGTTCATGAGGAGTTTTGAGTACTTCTCTTTTAAGAGAAACCTTTTGAGTAATAATCTCAAAGTTGAGGATGAGGAAATATTTTTAAACCTAAGAGATAAGTTATATTTTGGGAGTAGTATTGAGCACTTATATGGAGACGAGTTCAGATAACTCAAAGCTAAGTCCTCATAAATCATGTGGCCAATGTGGGTAGAAAGGGCCATACTTTTTAGATGATTCTTTATTGTTTTTTAAGCATAACTTAGTGGATCCACTTAGTTTCGGAGGTTTATACCCCAGCAAGGTATTATCGATTTTGGCAGCGTAGGTGAGACGATGTATCACCACATAGCTCATAGTGATGGTTGTCAGTTAGAGAATCTCCCAAACAAAATTTATTTTGTATTTTTACATACAAACTGAGTTATTATTGTATTTTTCAATACATTGAGTTGTTATCCACTGTCTTTAAAAGCTTTTATTTATAATGCAACTTTACTACTGCTTTATATTGAATTGAGTTGAGTAACTTTGAGTATCCTTGAGTTGAGTTGAAACGAGGTAAGTTGTTTCTTCAGTTCCAGTTCAAGCTTATGTCATGTTTTAGATTTCCCATTGCATGCTCGTACATTCCATGTACTGATGCCATTTGGCCTGCATCTATTATGATGTAGATTATGGCTGGCAACGGGACTGGAATCGGACCGGAACCGGGCACCACGGGCCGAAAGCGAATCGAAACCGGGACGGACCAGAACCGGTAATTCCAGAAAAAACTGAGTTTACCCGTCCCAGACCGGTACCGGACCTGACCAGAAATGGGTCCCAACGGTTGTAATTTTTTTTAAAAAAATAATTATTAAAATTAAAAAATTAGGAACATTACTCAAATAATATTAAAACTTTTATAATTTTAAAGTTAAAAATTTATACTTTTAAAGTTTTAAATACAAACTTTCAAACTTTAAAAGTATAAAAGTTTAAATTTCACACTTTAAAAGTTTGAATATTTAAATTCAAACTACAAAACTATAAAAGTTTAAATTTCACACTTTAAAAGTTTGAAAATTTAAATTCAAACTTTAAAACTATAAAAGTTTAAATTTCACCGTTTAAAAGTTTGAAAATTTAAATTCAAACTTTAAAACTATAAAAGTTTAAATTTCACACTTTAAAAGTTTAAAAACTTAAATTTAAATTTCACACTTTAAATTTTAAAAGTTTGAAAATTTAAATTCAAACTTTAAAACTATAAAAGTTTAAATTTCACACTTTAAAAGTTTGAAAATTTAAATTCAAACTTTAAAACTATAAAAAATTTAAATTTCACACTTTAAAAGTTTAAAAATTTTAATTCAAACTTTAAAACTATAAAACTATAAAATTTTAAATTTCACACTTTAAAAGTTTAAAAATTTTAATTCAAACTTTAAAACTATAAAACTATAAAATTTTAAATTTCACACTTTAAAAGTTAAATTTAAAGACAATAATAAAACAAATTAAGGCGAATAGCCTATACTTTTATTAATATTAATTAAATAGTACAAGTTGAGTTACAAAATCTTAGTAGAGTATTAAAAAATCTAATCTACACAGCCACCTTCTAGGAAGAATTCTGTTTGAATTAGACCTCGAATTATTATACTCATACTAATAGACATTTAAATTTAATAGTTCATCCTACCAAGGAAATCTTTTTTTAAATCATTTAACATTTCTCTAGTAACATGCTCTGGAATTGGTTGATTAGCTAGTTCCTCCATTGCATCAATGTCGTCATCACTAAAATCTTGCATTATTTCATCAACGTCATTTTCAAATTTGCTCGGTAAAGGTGGACAACCATAACACCTTCTCTTGCCAGTAATCAAATCTCTAAATAGTATCGATATCTCCAAGCTATCTGCTGCTAATGAATATCTATGCTCTCTAATTTGAAATCTTGCTGCACTAAAAGCGTCTTCTGAAGCTACTGAAGATGCTTGAATAGCTAACACATCTCGAGCAACCGGTTGAAGTTTTGAAAATCCCTAGCCGCGATTGCTCTACCATTCTGGAAGATCAATAGTAGTAGGTTCTGTATTTTGATTAATATATGCATCAAAATCATTTCTATCATTATGAGAAAGTTCAAGAATACAATCTATCATATCATCAATATCATCTTCATTATTATATCTACTCCTAGAACTTTGAGGCTCTTCATTACGTACTACATTCATTATATTAGAATTATACAAGTCATACAATTTTCTAGCTTCAATTTTTGTACTATTTTTAACATCTTGACAATTAGGTGTTTCATCATCTTCACTATCAATACCCAAATTAAAATATATTTTATCACCCATTCGTGATGCACCTTCATCTTTGTAATGTAGGTTTAACAAACAAGTGGTTAAATAAATTTGAGGAAAAGGAATAAAATATTTTTAAAATTTTTCAATCATTTTCTTAACAGATTCTTCAAATCTTGG